CTCCTTCCCAGTGCGAGATCACACACATCGTGGACCATGCCGCGCAGGGTCGAAAATTGCCGGTCCAACGGCGACTGCAAGATGTCTTCCGGAATATCGGCTAACCGACTCACCATCTCCTGTTCGAACAACTGCTAGTGAGCATTGGAGATGTTCCAGGACGGCACAGGAGCTAAGCTCTCATCGACGCGCGTGGTCGTTGGTGTTGCCACTACGGTAATCATGTTATGATCACTCAACTCGCACACTTCCACTCTCCACTCGAACGTGGCCCACATTGATGCTGCATAGTTAGCAATTGTTACGTCGATTTCACTACGCGCATGGTAGGTATCAAACGTGAATACCAGGCTAGGTTTAGGGCAACGGCTCCACTCTCCAGCATCCACTCAGACAGCAGCTCACCCCGGCTGTGGTTTGCATGTCCCTCGGGACTCCGAGGGAGTTTACAAAACCACAGGGGGAACGCTGCATTCGCGTCGAGTCCCAGGCTTGCGGGGATTCTGCTGCCCAGCAGCACTGAGGTACCGCTCTAGATCGGTGTCGAACTGGCAGTATAAGGAGCAAAGGAAGATTGAGCCAAAACTCACTGCATTCCCGTCGAGTCCCAGGATTGCGGGGGTTCTGCTGGCCTGCAGCAGGACCGCATCCATGTACCTGAGGTACGGTTCTAAATCGGCGTCGAACTGGCAGTATACGGAGCAAAGGAAGATTGAGCCAAAACTCCCTTCAACGCTCACGCATACGCCATAGTCAATGGTAAGGGTCGCGATCGGCATGCAGATGACATTCTGGTGATCCTTGATGCCTTGCCTCTCCGGTCGGCGTATATTCTCATTCCTTCCGGCAGCACATCACTCGTCCCGCTACCAACGTATGGTTCCTGCAACAGTGCAAACAGACATCCAGACTCCCTCAGGCGGACTGCGAGTTCGATAGTCGCAGCCCGACCCCGACCACAGTTTGCTTGGATGAATCTAAACATTAGTGTTTAGAATTCACCCTAGCCAGAACTGCCGCATATACCGGGCAGCTCGGGGACAGCATGCTGTGCCCCGAGGGGTGCCCGTAGAACAGGCAGTTCCGGCAGTCCACCGGGTTGGTGCAACTTCGCGCGCTATGGCCGGGCTGTCCGCACTGTCTGCAGACATTTTCTTTTTGCTTACAATCTGCAATTTTGTGGTTGAAGCCAACACACCTATGGCAGGCGTACGTTCGAACAAGTGCCCTGCATCGGTGGGAGAACCACTTGATATAAATTCTTCCACCTTCTAGCAGCTCAAGCACTTTCGGCTCGCACTCGAGAGTCACATTAATCGTGGCTTCGTCTGCGACCGTCCAGGGCTCGTTTTCAAGGTGCACCGCCCTGCGGAACTCCGCCTCCGGAATGTGCTCCTTGAGATTGTTCGCAAAAAGTTCCTCCATGAACTCCTGCGGGGCAATCTGTGTTGCCACGTCTTGAATTATCAGCTTCGGCCTCAGTGCAGAATTCTGCTTAACTTCGAGGCCTACTTCACTAAACTTCTTATTCGCAACTACTTTGCGAATTTCGCCTGATGAGGGGGCGCGGATTATGGCGCCGCCACGCGCAAGCCCTCTCACCCCATGCAGGCGAACACCAAGCGAAGGGGCGATCTCCTTGCGCACCTTTTCGGCTACCTCCTTAACCGAAATATTCGCTTCCGTTTTGTTTTGGTCAATCTACGTGCAGTCCCATCTGCTTCCATAATTCATCTTGAATATTTTTCTTCCAGCAATTTAACATAACCTTGTCATTTGCATCTCGCACTTGCCATTTATTCAGACCAATCCGATACGAAACATGCAATACGAATTCAAAAAATCGTATCCAAGAATGTAATGGACTCACTCCATATTGCAGAGTATTAGGCTTTGGCTTAAAAATGTCCGCGTTTGTGTCCTTCGTCATCAAAACAATTTTTGGAGTTCCACCACATATTGGACATGACTGGGTGGAATTCATGCCCATTAACACATTCAAAACCTTTCCGTCAATGAGCGTTAAATTGAGATCAAATGAAACTGTAATATTTCTGTCCGCAATTTCATTAAATATATACGGTGCCAAGGTTTGAACTTCATTCTCTACTCTGTTGTTTTCTTTTAATATGTGTTCTTTACTCTCCTTGGTAAATTCTATTTTTAATGGTCTACAAAATTTAATTGCCTGCGTGTTGATATTTAGCCACAGTATTCGTCCTGTACCATCAACCAATTTATTTGATATAAAAGACGAAATAAATAAGGATTGGTCATTTGTTTCTGGCTCGCTTCTTAAAAATCCCTGCTTTTATAAGCTTTGTCCAGACGATCCGTCAAACCCATAGCTTGTATCAAATTAACTTCAATTTATTTCTTGAAATTGAATAAATACTTCTTTTTGCAATGTTATGATCGTTTTTGCAGTGTGTATCAGCAAATTTTGCAATGAAACTTGGGCCATCGTGCAGCTTAGCTTTGTAAACTTTATCATTACTTGGCAATATAACACAGCCTTGTTTACGTATAAAATCAATAATGTTGTTGTACAAAAAAGTCTCCAGTAAAAATACTAAAGCGTCATCTTCAGAAATAGGCTCGAATTTTTTGGCAGATATGGCAGCTGCATGAGTGAGTAAATCAGTATGTTGCCTTCATCATAAGTTAAGCGTGGCCGACCTTTTGAACATTTTACTAATTCGACTCCGTTTTGCGACCACCTTGAATCCAAATCTCAAGCAATTCGTCGTGACTGAATTCGAACGTGTCTGTAACATCATCTAATATTTAACAAATGCGCAAAAAGGCGCAATAATATCCAGGCGCTGACAAGCCATTAGATGTCTCCTGGCATGCGAATGGGTCAGGGCAACCTTATACCATACTGAGGCACCAAATAGTGCACAAGGCACCATAAGTCCAGCGTATATGGCGCGCTTTGCACGGAGGCCAAGTCCCCAGTCTACACGCAAAACTCTTGCCAAACTGCCGACTACTCCTGCTAGGCGGTTACGTAGGGACGCAACGTGCGGGAGAACACTCAACCGTTCCCCAACTGTGATTCCAAGGTACCGGCAGCGTGTAGCCTTCGGTAGGTTTGCTCCAGCGAAGTTTACGGTGGGCGGTCTATTCGGCGATAGTCTTCCCTTTAGCAGCATACATACAGTCTTACTGGTGGAAACTGCAACGCCAACTTCCTCTCCCCAAGCGCCTACGATGGACATCAGATCCGCACCCTTCGTCTCGAGCCCAGATCTTGAGTTGGCCTCAACGATGAGCAGCAAGTCGTCTGCATATGCACTTACAGCACAGTGCGGTTCCAAGCGCTGGAGAAACAAGTCCATCATAAGGTTCCATATAAAGGGAACACTGATAGACCCTTGCGGGCAACCTCGTGTCACTGGAACAGTGACTTCTCCATACCTGTTGACCATACATGCACTCCTGTCCGAGAAGAAGCTCCTCCACAGGTTTGATTCTCGACAACCGGACTCGACGAGTGGTCGAGGTTTTTTTTTTGGGTTCTCGTTTGGGGGGTTGGGGGGTTTTTGGTCCTTCATTATTCCTTCCCCATTTTTTATTTTTTTTTTATTGGGGAGAATTTTTTTCGGGCTGGAATCAAAAAAAAAAATAAAAAATTTTTAAATATAAAAAAATTTTAAGGTAATCAAAAAAAAAGAAAAAAAAAATTTAAAAAAACTTAAAAAAAGAAAAAAAGGAAAAAAAAAAAAAAAAAAAAAAAAAAAAAAAAAAAAAAAAAAAAGGAGGAAAGAAAAACCTTAATTACCCCATTAACCTCCAATTTTGGGTAGGGCCTTTGTTCCCTCCTTAACCATCCTAGGGTCGGAGAAACAACACCGTTTTTTTTTTTTTTTTTTGCTTTATTATTTATTTTTTTTTTTTTTTTAAAGTAAAAAAATTAATAAAAAATTATTTTTTTTTTTATAAAAATTAAAAAAAAAAATATTATTTTTAAATTTTTCTTCAAAAAATAAAAAAATAGAGGGAAAAAAAAAATAAAAAAAAAAAAAAAAAAAAAAAAAAAAAAAAAAATATTAAAAAAAAAAAAAAAAAAAAATATTAAAAAAAAAAAAATAAATATTTTAAAAATATAAAAAATAAAAAAATTAATTAAAAAAAAAAAAAAACAAAAAAAAAAAAATTTAAATCCAAAAAAAAAAAATTAAAAAACCAAAGGAAGAATCAAACTAAAAAGAAAAATAATCCTTATAATTAATTTTATTTTTTTTTATTTAATATTAAAAAAATAATATTTTTATATATTTTTTTATTTTTTGGACCTCTAAAAAATTTTTCAAATATTTTTTTTTCAAGTTTATTTTATATTTTTTATATTTAATATTTTTTATTTTTATATTAAATTATCTATTTTTATTTTTTTTTTAATTAAATTAAATTAAAATAAATTTATTCAAAATTATTTTCAGGTAAGAAAAGCCCGCCGGACTAAAAGATAAGCTCGCTGTAAATATAACCGTTCTTTGATTCTTCTTTTTCCCATCTTTCTATTCCGCAAAATTCGTTTTAGTGAGGAATTCAAATTACAAAAAAAAAAATAATAATTGCATGCTGTTAATTTTTGTGTTGTAAAAAGTGAATACAAATTAAGAAAACAAACTCACGTGCATTTTCCATGACGAAAGATCGATCTCCCGGCGCTGGCGTGCTGAAACGGAATTTTGGGGGCTTTTCCCATAATTTTTGGGAAATTCTGAGACGTAATTAATTAATTTTTTTTTTTTTTTTTTGTAACACATCAGAGCTTTTCTTTCAGTGCTTCTTGCTCTGTCAAACCAAACTCACCAACCAAAACAAAAATAAAAAAAAAAATAAAAAAAAAAACAATCAATATTTCGAAGCGCCTTTCTAATTTTTTTTGGAACGTTTTAACATTTTTAGCTTTATTTACATAATTTATTTTTTTTTTTAGGTTTTCGTTTTCACCTTCGCATTTAGTTCTTTTATAATATTTTCCTAATACTGTTTTAGCTTCATTATAATTTTTAAGGATTATTTATTTGAATTCTCACTTCATTGTTTATAGTGTATTTCACTTAAAAAAATTTTGGTATAACCAAAAAAAATAAATTTTAATTTTTGTTTCTGCACATTTTATTTACATTTTCACGTTTTTTTATAGCTCGCAAGCATTGATCTTTGTTATTTAATAATTTTTTTATTATAGTTTTTTGTCTTATATTTTTCTCTGTGTACACGTGGTTTTTTTAGGGGGCTTTAGGTTAATTTCACGTTTTTCACTCCCACTAGGCTTTTTCCGCCCGCTGTTACCTCCAAAACTGCTGGCCCACGGAGTTGCCGATCCCTCGTTGGGATAAAAAAAATGCGCTCCGCGGGACACTTGAGAATCGCTGGGCCGGCTTAGGGTTTGCTACACCTGGATGCCGGGCCTATAGATGATCCACATGTAGGTGGGTTCTTCTAGGTAAGGCCGGTAACTCCTAAGGCTTCCTATTTCCGTCCTTCCTTCTTGGCTGGGCTGGCGGAATACAGTCGGCAGGTTGATTTGGGTAAATCTGAATAAATAACCCAAAAGAATTTAACCTCTGTGTGAGCAAACACCCACATGCCCAGGCTAGGAACTTACGTGCACAGGTCTTTCTGCTCTGGAGGTTGGATCGAATAGAATCTAAGATTTCAGAGCGGAAATCTATGTCGATCCAACCTTACGCCATCATAGGTAAATAGAGCTTTCCAGTGCATACCTGCATACAGCTGATAAGAAGCTGCATCTCGGATGGCAACTCTTAGTTTACCTAGTCGGTAATCTACGCTTACGGTCTTTGGCGCCAAATATAAAAACATTTGAATTTTTCTTTGGCTTCAGTCGCCAGTACAAAACTCCCCCGCTAAAATCAGACTAGGGTATAATTGAGAGAATACACTAGACTGATTCCGACTGAAGCTATTGCCGAATGTCTTTAGCGTGATATGTACCTACAACTTTTCCTTGGAGGTCTTCCAGTTCATAATAGAGGTTACCGATTTTTCTTCGAATCCGAGATTTTACAAACATTGGCCCGAATTTGGCGTTATATCCAGTTTGAAAGCAGCTTTGCTTAAAGTTACGTCGATATACCTCTTGACCTTCAGTATACGTAACATTACGAGTGCGGAGATCATAGCGCTTCTTGTTTTCCTCGTGCTTTCTATACATTTGCTCGCAAGCTTGTTTGCGAACTATTTCGAAAGAATCCTGCCTGTCAAATTGTAGCGAACGATCGTTTAAAAGATTTAAACGTCGGAGCAGAGAATAGGTCGAACCGGAGGTAACCATATGCTGTCCAAAAGCCATGTAGTACGGACTTGTTCCAAGGCTGGAGTGTATGGAAGACCTCAGCGCGCAAGATATCCGGCTCAGAACTTCATCCCAATCCTTCTGATCCGGGCGTATATACGCTCTAATGGCGGATATGACCGATCTATTTACACGCTCCGAGGCGTTAGCCTGAGGTGAATAAACAGCAGTCAGAGTATGATTAATGCTATATTCCTGCATCAATCCTCGAAACGCTTTCGACCGAAATTGGGACCCGTTATCTGACACCATTGTTTCAGGGACTCCAAAAGTCATAAACAGTTCACTGTCTAGATACTTCACAATTGCGCTAGAATCAATCTTCCTAACAGGTTTAAGGAAAACAAACTTTGAGAAGTGATCGAGGACGATAAAAATGCCCACGTTTCCACTTCGCGATCTGGGATAAGGCCCGAGAAAATCAACGAAAAGCCTTTGAAAGAACCGCTGAGTCTCCGGTGCTCTTCCCAAAGGAGGTCTGAGAACACAATTTGGTGCTTTCGTGCATTTGCAAACCTCACAAGCACTTATGTAGGCTCTTACGTCTGAAACGAGACCAGGCCAGAAATAGTATCGCCTAATCCTCTCGATAGTTTTGTGTACGCCTCCATGTGAGGCCAAGGAGCTATCATGAGCTAGAGAAAGAACTTTGTGCACTAATTCCTTTGGTAACCAAAGCTTCCATGCGTATTCGTCATGTATCTGTTCCCCGGTTAAGTGTTCCGCTTTACGATACAAATAACCGTTTTCCACCTTAAGATCAGGGAAATTTAGTTTATTTTCTTCCTCTCTCTTTATCAGATTACTATACTCCTCCGATTTAAAAGCTTCGGAATTTAGATCAATAATAAATCCTTCCGTCAAATCTATGGCAACAACTGCCTCTTCGTTCACGCGAGACAAAACGTCGGGAACAACGTTTAGTGAACCCTTGCGATGCTCGATCTCGAAAACGTATCTTTGTAACACTAACGACCACCGAGCTAATCGGGAACTTAAATCGTGGTTCGACATCAACCACTTTAAAGAAGCATGATCGGTAATTATCTTGAATTTCAACCCCTCCATATACGCTCTAAAATTCTTTAAAGCGACGATGGCAGCTAAACATTCTTGTTCAGTGACTGTGTAGTTTTTCTGAGCTTTATTCAATTTCTTTGAAACAAAAGCAATCGGTCTCTCGTCGCCTTCGTCTGAAACTTGCACTAATACAGCTCCTACGCCTGTTTTGCTGGCATCACAGTGTATAGCAAACGGCTTCGCGAAGTCTGGACCACATAAAACAGGTGCTTCACTAAGACACTGCTTTAGCCTTTCAAACGCTCTTATAGCCTCTTCGGTCAAGATGAACTTTCGTTTTGTCGTCATCAAGTCTGTCAAAGGAGCAGACAGAGACGCAAAATTTGGCACGAATTTCCGATACCATCCACACATCCCCATAAAGCTTCTCAAGTTCTTTAAGCTTTTTGGTAAAGGAAAGTTGGTAATCGCAGACACCTTTTCTGGGTCTGTACGGATTCCGCCGTCACCTATTATATGACCTAGATAACGCACTCGCGGCATGCAGAAGTGACTTTTGCCAATGTTGATTGTCAAACCTGCACGCCTAATGTGCAATGCTAACTCCCTGAGAACTTCGAGGTGATCTTCAAAACTTGCAGATACTATTAGAAGATCATCTAAATATATAAAAACTTCGTTCCTCATGTGAGCTGGCACTACCTTGTCCATTAAACGAGACATGGTGCTCGTAGCATTGCATAAGCCAAACGGCATTACTTTAAATTGGTATAACGGTCTTCCTGGTACCGTGAACGCAGTCTTATCGCGCGACTGAACGTCTAAAGGCACTTGCCAATAAGCATCCTTTAAGTCTAAGCTAGTTATAAATTCTGCTTTCGGTAATCGGCTCAAAATCCCATTTATTTGAGGAAGAGGATACGCGTCCTTTTCCGTGAAACTATTGACTTTCCGGCAATCTAAACATATTCTAACTTTCCCTGGTTTAGTAACCATTACTATCGGGGAGGACCATGCACTCTCCGATTCCTCTATCACACCCAATTGCAACATTCTGTCGATTTCAGTATACATTGCCTTTTCGACTGCAGGAGATACAGGGAAATGCCGCTGTTTGATGGGCTTCGCCATTCCTACATCAATAGTGTGGGTTATCAAATTTGTCCTGCCTAATCCTTCCTGATTAAAAGAAGGAAAACAATTTATGGTATTTGCCAATTTAGCTTTTTCGTCTTCCGACAAATCGTGTTGATCCACCTCGTCTGGGCGGACTGCCTTAGCCGATTCTATTTCCGATACCTTTAAATGTGTTGGAAGAAGATCGTATAACTTCCAAAAGTCTATGCCAAGATATAAATCTTGTTTGAGTGAAGGTACGACATACAGTTTTAAAGGCTTCCTATCACTGCCGTATTCTACGTCAATGTTTAGGACTCCTACTATATTTTGGGATTTCCCGTCTGCTGTCGCAGCGCTGCCTTTTATGGCTCGGTATTCCTTATTCTTTATCACTTCCTTAGCTAATTCTCCCCCTATACAACTAATCGAAGCTCCCGAATCTAACAAACCGTATACAACTCGATCGAGCAATCGAACCGGTAGAAACGGTCGAGGATCTCTAGTTCCTGCGGGTATGGAATTAATGTGTTTCAAACTGTCTTTGCATCTTTTCACATTTTTCCAAAAAGCCTTTAACCTTCGTGAATTTCGTTTAGCTACGTTAGCTATCTTTTGTACTTCATGGATTGCGACGTCCCTTAACTTTGAAATTTTGCTGTGAAGCAGAGAGCTTTCTGGGACTATTTGTTCGTCTGGGGAAGAGAGAGATACACTTTGAAGAGTGTCCTCTATTGGTCGGTCATTGTGGACTGATTTCGACTGGCATATGAAGTCTTCTGTCTGTATTGCGACTTCGATATGCCTTGCTTGAACTAATGTCAACTTGACATATAGAACACAAAGAATTTGAGGCACTTCCGACTCTCCTATTCGGCGATCGATCTAACCCCATCATACTCAAATAATTCTTAAAAATGTGACACACAAAAAAAAAATATCTTAATATAATAAAGAAAAATATAACTCAATAAAATTTATATAAACTGAACCCTTAGCTTGTTGTTCTCGTCCCCAAGGATATGTACATTCTCTTTTCTTACATTTCTCAAAAGGTGTATGGAGTTTGGAAGAAAATTCGTTCAAATTGACTTAAACTTATTCGAAAGATAATCCTTTCTTTCTACCTGAGTTTTGGACGGTGTACTCTTACACTCGTATTCCAGTGTAAACAAGTTTTCCTTCCAGTAGTAAGAATTTAGATTCAGAAGTTACGAAGATAGGATACGACACTTCTCGCAAGTTGTGCCAGTATTTTCCTCTTTGTTCATCGATAACTTCCTTTATAGAACAGTTTGAGTAGCTCAGTGATTGGTTTTTTCCGATCGCGGACAGAAAATCAACCGAAGTTTTGATTTTTAAATCTGTTTTCCTGCGCCTGAAAACTCCAGTCACTTCTGCTTGAGGTAGGAAATTTCCGCTTTATGGTCTAATTCCGGGCAGCTTTGAATACTGATATTCTTTCGGCATGAATTCCAGGAATTCGAACACAATCGAAAATTTAGAAAGGTGAAATTTTAAAGTACGAAGAAATGAAAGAGTTTCTGAAATTATGTCCTTCGCGAGTCTTAATGAACTTGAATTTATTCACTAAGGCCCTGCACGTTGGGCGCCACTTTTCTTAATTAATAATAAATAATTATCTGTAACGTGTAACGGTAGTAGCGATCAATCCGGGATTCTGTACTTGCGGGGCACGCTTTACTTTTCCGGCTCTGACTCGTCGGCTTGGGGGGTGGTGGTCTTGCTCCGTACAGAATCCCACACCAACTACTCATTATTATTAATTAGAAATCGAATTTAGGGTGCTGCGACAAAAAAATACTCAAACTGGAAACCTGTGAAAATATCTAGAGAGCTAGATAACCGGAAGAACAGACGGACAATTTCAGAGAAACCCGAAAAAAAGAAAAGAGAAAGAGGTGAGAAATAAAAAGAAAGGTTGCGATACACAGCTGGAATGGTGTACGCTTTATGCCCTACCCAACCTACGACCCTCTCCGCTCGAGCATGGCTCTGAGGATCCCTTCACATCCTAGGGTCTGAGAAACAACAGCATGGTTCAGTTATGTGTTTAGTTATTCATTATCTTATTATTTCTTCAAACGTTATAAAAGGTAATAATTAAAGGATACATTTTTTTTTTTTTTTTGTGCGATAGAAAATTATAACCAAAGATTGTACTCAAATATTCAAAATTTGGGGGTAGAAATATAGTAATTATAATAATAAATTAAAACTAAATATAAAGGAATATTTAAAAAAAAAAAGTATTAATGTTAAAAATATTAAGGTGTTAAAATATTAAAGTAACGGCATAACTAATTTAAAAAAAGAAAAGTAAAAAAAAAAATTTAAATTCCTATCCCAAACGTGGCAATAAACTTGGCGGGCAATATTCGAAAATAAATTTAAACTATATTATTAATTGGCGTTATTCATTTAATATTTATAAAACAAAAAAATTTTTTATATTTTTTTTTTAAGCCTTTATAAAAATTTTCAAAACATATTTTTTTTCCAGTGTATTTCAAAATTTTCTTTTATCTAAAATATTTTATGTTTTCATACGCATCTGATAATCTCTAATTATTTTTATTTCAATAATATTAAATTAAATAAAATTCATTCAAAATTTCTCTCAGTGTAGTCAAAGCTCGCTGACTAAAAGATAAGCTCGCTGTAAATATAACCGTTCTTTGATTCTTCTTTTTTCCCATCTTTCTATTCCGCAAAATTCGTTTTAGTGAGGAATTCAAATTACAACAAAATAAATAATAATTGCATGCTGTTAATTTTTGTGTTGTAAAAAGTGAATACAAATTAAGAAAACAAACTCACGTGCATTTTCCATGACGAAAGATCGATCTCCCGGCGCTGGCGTGCTGAAACGGAATTTTGGGGGGCTTTTCCCATAATTTTTGGGAAATTCTGAGACGTAATTAATTAATTTTTTTTTTTTTTTTTTGTGTAACACATCAGAGCTTTTCTTTCAGTGCTTCTTGCTCTGTCAAACCAAACTCACCAACCAAAACAAAAATAAAAGAAAAAAATAAAAAAAAAAAAAAAAAAAAACAA